GACGTAACTAAATGCACTATTTATTTACTGATATAACTAAGATGCACTATTTTATTTACTCACATAAGTAAACTAAATGCACCATTTTATTTACTGACATAACTAAATGCACTATTTTATTTCCAAACATAACTAAATGCACAATTTTATTAACCTGATATAACTAAGATGCTCTATTTTATTTCCAAACATAACTGAATGCACTATTTTGTTTACCTGACATAACTAAATGCACTATTTTTTTTACCTGACATAACTAAATGCACTATTGTATTTACCAGATTTATATCTACGATGCACTATTTTATTCACCCGACATAATTAAGATGAATTATTTTATATCCAATCATAACTAAGATGCACAATTTTATTAACCTTACATAACTAAGATATACCATTTTATTTACCTGATATAAATAAGATGCACTATTTTATTTACCGGACTTAACTAAATGCACTATTTTATTTACCTGACATAACTAAGACGCACTATTTTATTTACCTGATATAACTAAACTAAATGCACCATTTTATTTACCTGACATAACTAAATGCACTATTTTATTTCCAAACATAACTAAATGCACTATTTTATTTACCTGACATAACTAAGATGCACTATTTTATTTACCTGATATAACTAAGATGCACTATTTTGTTTACCTGACGTAACTAAGATGCACTATTTTATTTACCTGACATAACTAAGATGCACTATTTTATTTTCAAACATAACTAAATGCACTATTTTATTCACCTGACATAACTAAGATGCACTATTTTCTTTTCCTGACGTAACTAAGATGCACTATTTTATTTACCTCACATACCTAAGATGCACTATTTTATTTACCTGAGATAATTACATGCACTATTTTATTTACCTGACATAACTAAATGGACTATTTTATTTACCAGATATAACTAAGATGCACTATTTTATTAACCTGACATAACTAAGATCTTTTATTTTATTTACCTGAAATAACTAAGATGCACTATTTTATTTACCTTACATAACTAAGATGCACTATTTTACTAACCTGATATAACTAAGATTTACTATTTTATTTACCTCACATAACTAAGATGCACTATTTTATTTACCTGACATAACTAAGATGCACAATTTTATTAACCTGATATAACTAAGATGCACTATTTTATTTACCTGATATAACTAAGATGCACTATTTTATTTACCTCACATAACTAAGATGCACTATTTTATTTACCTGACATAATTAAGATGCACTATTTTATTCACTCGACATAACTAAGATGCATTATTTTATATCCAATCATAACTAAGATGCACAATTTTATTAACCTTATATAACTAAGATATACAATTTTATTTACCTGATATAAATAAGATGCACTATTTTATATCGAGTCATAACTAAGATGCACAGTTTTATTAACCTGATACAACTAAGATATACCATTTCATTTACCTGATATAAATAAGATGCACTATTTTATTTACCTGACATAACTAAGATGCACTATTTTATTTACCTGACATAACTATGATGCACTATTTTATTTCCAAACATAACTAAACGCACTATTTTATTTACCTGACTTAACTAAATGCACTATTTTATTTACCCGATATAACTAAGATGCACTATTTTATTTACCTGACTAAATGCACCATTTTATTTACCTGACATAACTAAATGCAGTATTTTATTTCCAAACATAACTAAATGCAATATTTTATTTACCCGACTTAACTAAATGCAATATTTTATTTACCTGACATAACTAACATGCACTATTTTATTTACCTGATATAACTAAGATGCACTATTTTGTTTACCTCACATAACTAAGATGCACTATTGTATTTACCTGACATAACTAAGATGCACTATTTTATTTTCAAACATAACGAAATGCACTATTTTATTCACCTGACATAACTAAATGGACTATTTTATTTACCTGACATAACTAAATGGACTATTTTATTTACCAGATATAACTAAGATGCACTATTTTATTAACTTGACATAACT